TTGCTGAGGAGGGGAAGGATGGGGATGGGAAGGAGTGCGAATCCCACGTCTCCGCCAGAGATGTTCACCGTAGAGCAGGGCGAAGGTTGTTGCTGTGAGGATCTTGGTATTGTTTCGCAGATTATCATTCTTATCATGGTGGTGATGATGATGTGGAAGATTATCAAGTATCCGAAGACACGAAATCGCAAGATCATCGATCCAGGACCCAACTCCGTCGCTTTCATCCCCATCCTCATTATTATGACCATTATCATGATGATCAAATCCCCAATCATATTCATCAAACCCATACTCATTATTATCCGACTCACTCGGGGAATGTAATACCCCTTCTCTAGCGAGGAATGCGAGGAATGTGATGAAGTTGAGCCATGCTTGGTGGAGGACGGCTTGATCCTTCGGGTGCCATTTTTGGTGTTTTTGATGTGTATGTGTATGTGTATGTGGAAAAGGGTGCAGATGCATCCCGAGCACATCTCCAAAATCAGTATATATTGACCCTACCACATCTCGGAAATGTGGTAGGTAGGCCCATACTAGACTCTTGGTTTTTGTGGGTCGGATGGTCGATTCGGATGCTGAGGAGGGGAGTTTGGGGGGTTTGGGTCTGGAATTTTCTTGGGGTTGAGTTTGAGGTTGATTCTGGGGTTGGGATTGGGGTGTGTTGGTGTTCTTTCCTGGATCTGATGGTATAGGAGGTGGAGGTGGAGGAGGAACAGGTGTAGCCACAGAATCATGCAAATGGCGAATATAATGCGACCCGCCCACCGTCCCATCAAGGTATACACCTAAGGATGGGTGGTATAGTTCTTCTTCTTCTGTACTCTCTCCTTCATCTTCCCCTTCATTTCCATTTCCAGGGTCAGGGTCATTCTCATTCCTCTCAGTAATATCCCCATTAACACCACCATAAGAACTATACCTCTCCCTCGCCCCCGAACCACCCACCTGCGAAGCAGCAAAATAAGAATACCTCGACTGCGTCGTCCTCGCGCGAATATGCACATGCACATCCGGCATATTCTTGATCGCGTGCAACAAGGCAATCAGTTTCTTCTGCGATGGGGTGGGTGTTTGGTGATGGGAGATGTCTGTGTCGATAGTCTCTTTCTTTATCATCATCTTTTCTCCCAGCTCACCACCATTACCGTTGGACGTGATACTTCTATCAGCAGTAGTAGCTGATGCTGATGATACCATGATATTTGTGCAGGGTAGACATCTCCCTGCGTGTAGAATACTGGCCCATAGGTCGTGGACGCATTCATCTATATTATTATTATTAGCATCATGGGGTATAATATATAAGGTATGATGATGGTGGGATAGGGGTGTCACCTATTCCCTCCCCCCTCTTCTCCACAAACGCACTGATCTCTCCTACAGCCGTCACTACCGAGATCTCCTCCGCCAGGTACAGTTGAATAATGCCCGTGAAAGGATACAGGGATGGAGTGCCTTGGGTCCAGTTGTGGAGGGTGGCGAGGGTGTCGATTTTATGGTCCATCCCGTTTCCCTCTTCCTCTCTCTCTCCCTCTCTACCATGTACTCTATGGTAGTGGGGAGGACATGGCGAATTATTATGTGTCTGTTTTTAGTAGTTGGAGATGTTGTATCATGTGAACTTGTGTGAGCAAAAGTTAGATGGAGGGTGTGTCATGATGTCATGTCATGTGATCGTTATGGCCTAATTATATACTAGTATGCTTAGCTACTTGTGTATGTACTATGCTGGCTGGCTGGCTGGTGTTGATTATAATGTACAGGGTATCATCGCTCCGTATTTACTTCTCTCCCTAAGGTTCATGTCCTGGCTCGTATCTGGCTTACGGATTCTCCACCTCCACCTCAGGCATCACCATATCTAGCCCCTCTCCGAGGAAAAAGTCCAGCTCGCTGGGTCCGCCCTGCGAATGCTCGTTCTCTGCCAGTTGCTCCAGCAGACTCAGAAACGGGTCTTTTTCGCCTTCGCCTGTGCCTGTTGCAGCTCCTGCTGCTGTTGCAGTGGCGCTGGAGCTGCCCTGTGACGGGGCGTCTGGCGTCAGTGCCGGTCCGCCCGGCGTAGCTTCAAACGGAAACGTCGCGTACTGGGGCTGTGCGGGCGGTGTCGGTGCAGTGAATGGGTCGGAGAGGAATGGTGCAGGGGAGTTGCTCACTCCTGGTGAGAAGCCTAGACTGCTCTCTGGTAGGGCGAGTTCGGGTTGTGGCCATGTCGGTGATGGTTGGAAGCTGACGGATCCTCGGCCCTGGGAAGGTAGAGTCGATGCAGGCGGGTACATAAGTCTGTTGAAATCGGGTCGGTCCAGTGGTAATCTAAACAAGTCAGCATTATAAGTTTTATATGAAAGGTGGTGGCTTACTCGTCTCCGTCCACTAATCGCAAATGCGCCCCATCCACGGCTAGCCCCGGATACCGGTCCAGGAAGTCCTCGAGATGGAACACCGGGGCAAATCGCACCGGTCGCGCTGCCATTGTCCGCACCAGCTCGGCATGGCATCCTGAAATACTTTGCAGCATCTCCCGCTGGTGCTGCACCCCCGCCCAGTACTGCCGTAGCCACGACAGCTGGTGCATCTCGCGCGCGAGAAAGTCTGCGCTCGACGCAAACACTTCTCCCTCGCGCCCGTGATAGTGGACGCCGTGTACGTGTACGGTGCCAGCCGTGCACACGCAGTATGCCACCAGGGCGGGCCACTCGATGCGTGGCGCGTGTCGGGCCAGCTCCACCAGCTCGGCGATAGCATTGGCATGCGAGAAACAGAGCGTCGTCGCCTCGATCTGCCACGACTGATGCTGTCCGGTACCGCGCAGCTCGACCAGGTCGATGGGAAGGAAGGGCCGATAGAGTAGACAGTGCACGAGGTGGTAAATGAGCTTGCTCAGGAGTAGCAGCGTGCTCTCCGGATGACCGAATAGCGTTTCGATCGATGCGAACAAGTCCTGTGTGCCAGCCGCCCAGAGGTCGAGTTCCTGGCGGATCTTGGATAGATTGGAGAGAGCGTGCCAGGGAAAATGCGAGTCGCCTTTGACGCCTCCCGCGGCGAGATAGCGGTGCGTGACACCCAGAATGCGCGTAATGTCGACTAAAAGAGCTGGGCCACCAGGGCCTTTGCGACGGTCCGGGGAGTAATGGATATTAGGGCCAACCGGGTTAAACCATTCGCCCGTTTCAGACCCGCTGCCCGGAAGACGCAGGACGATGGAATGGTCGGCAATAAGACACGGTCGCTTGGAGCCACAGGTGAGGAAGCGATCCATCACGTAGACGGTCCAGAACAATCGCCGTCGCATCTCACGTTCTGCCGCGGGCAGCGCTGCGGGTGCTTCGCGATACAAATCCAGCGCCAGTGTCATGGACACCGCATTGGCTGAGCAGTCAGCACCAGTCTGCGTCAGTTGGCGTCGCACATACCTAATACCATGTAGGCTGTTTTGCCACACCCGTAGGCGAAAAAGGTATGACAGAGCAGTAGCAGAGACTGGGTCCCTTCGATGGACGGATTGTCAATATCGACCAGCCGTCTTGCCTGCCGAGCATACTCCAGACTGCCTTGCGGTGGATTCGGCGTAGTATATCTACAACATCAGCCAGATTTTCACGACCGAGGGAACAATAATTACTACCTTAGGGTTAGGGCATAAATCGCCATAGACAGATGCACCGGTAATTGTCCATGCTGATGCCGTTGACGAGTCGCCGTTTCATCTAGAATCCAATACGGCTTCCCATGCAGCCGAGCAAAGTAGTTGTCCAGCATGGCATCGGGCAGCCGGTGTTGCTGCGGCTGCGATTGCGGGGGTGGGGGAAAGCCATGAGGCGCCGGGGGAAAGTGGAATGGCGTCGAGGCGGACGGCAGTAGTTGCTGGTCCATGGATTTGATGGGGGAGGTAGCCGAGGTCGGGGAAATCGGCGAGTCTTCCTGGAGGCGCTTTTCCAGCCCGTCAACACGTTTTAGCAAGGCCTCCAGGACATCGGTTTTGGGTCCCCGCTTTTTAGGAACGGCGTCTACCAGAATGAGTAGAGTTCGGATTAACGTGGCAGGCAGAGGATCAGACCATAGATGCATGGACATTGGAAGACCTTGCAGGCCTCGCAGCTGGGACGTAGACGATTACATTTGATCTGGCAATTTTGTCAGATCAAGAAGATGATGCTGATCTCACGAAAGATAATAAGAATAATCTGAGTACCTTTCGCTTTCTGCAGGACTTGCAGTTCATGGATTCACGGGGTTCGGCATGGACGCGACGGGGAGTGAGACGGTCGATGCTGACCTGGGGGCGGGACATGGCATTGCCTGTGCATAGGATGGATGATGGAGAGGATGAAGAGGATGGCGTGAGAGTTGGAGTTGTTGTTGAGACGTGGTTGTGGGGAAGAGAGGAAGGGATGATTTAGTCAAGGAAGAAGAAGCCGAAGCAGAAGAAGAAAGAGGAAGAGAGAGAAAGTGAGGGAAAAGAAGAAAAGCGAAGTGACCCCGGATTTAAAACCAAAAGCAAACGTGGAGAAGCCGGTGGACTAAGATGGATCTGGTTAGACACTGCGAATGCGGGGAGTTTCTCTTTTCTTGCATCAGTTGAGTTACTAGTAGTAGTATGATCATGTTAAGTGGTTGGTGAGAAATGTTAAATTCATGCATGAAGCACCAACTCTCTGTCGGTTAAATATTCCTCGGGATTTTCCCGCTTCCAGCACGGATTCTCGTCCGCAAATCCAGCACTTCTCAAAAGCCATCATCACTATCCAGGATAGTGCCCAGAATATATGGTGAACTGGTGAACATCTTGTCAGAAACTGTCGATCGCAATCTATCATCCTGCAGACCTTTCCAGTCTAGTAAGAGAAGCTATTCTGCAGCCGGCATATGCCCCGGCCCGGCACTCTTAGTATTTAATTTATTTCACTTGCCGTGATTGCTTTTAATATCCATCGTCTGTTGTAAGGACGATCACACTGCATTCATCACACCATTACAATTGAGAGCAGTAGCAGCACTAATACTCCTACTTAAAGTGGATACAGTTCATTCATTTATCATACCGATTTACTCCAATTCTATATCAAGATATAATCAAAACACCCGTCCCGATGCCATACGTACAAAATCAAACGGTACATTCTGTCCCACCAGCAGTCGCAGCGTCTCCACCGTCGTCCATGCATCAACATCTTCAATCCCATACGCCGTCCAGCCGGCTCGCACGGCTACCCCCACCGGGTCTCCCGTGCGCTCTCCCCTGGTCAAGTCCAGGTACACTTTCCCCCGAGTCGACGGCGGCGATGTGCGTCCACTCGTCCGGTAGTGCCGCAGCAACGGCTGCACCAGCAGCGACTTCTCTGGTGGCAGCGCCGACACCATCACGAACGGCTGCTCCACCATCTTCACCGATTGGATCGACGTAAACGGCTCCAGTCCTTCCGCCAGCGGGCCGCGCGCCCGGAACCCGACCGTGTGGATCGCGCCCACTCCCAGACTGCGCAATGCAAAGATCGTCGCCGACGCTTCGCTCTCGCTCCCCGCTAAGATGATGGCTGCTCGTCCCCGGTACGCCGACGGCACATAGTCCCGTGTCAACGTCGCCCGGATTCCCTTCCACGTCGCATTCTCCCCCATCAACTGCTGTTGCGGTGGCGCTGGCTGCTGTGGCCGCCCAGAGCCCCGCATGGCCACAATCGTATCCACCAGTCCGATCGCCTGCGCTGCTTCGCTGATGGCCGGGATGCTGCTCGTCCCACTGGCGATCGGCGGGTGAACGGACGCTCCCCCAAAGCTCGGCTGCGTGATCACCCGCTCGATCGAGCCCGTGGGACCCCGGTCAATCGAAGTCAGTGTGTGCGGTAGACTCAGCTCATTGAAGCATTTCTCCATAAACATCGACTGCGGCGTGGATCGGAAGGACCCAATCGCGTACAGATCTCGCTTCGGAAGTTGTCCCATGATGTGGAGGGCCTCGTTGATCTCGGCGGCGGTCAGCTGGCCGGGCGCGGCAATCATCGGCAGCAGCGGATGCGTGATGGGCGAAAACACCGTGTTGAGCGCACGCGAAAGCTGCCCTAGTTGGCCCATGTTGACTGCCGAGAGAAGTGGGTAGGGCCCGTAGGTCCCCTTGATCGTCGACCGGAAGTACTCTAGTTCGTAGTTGGCCTCGATCGTAGTCACCATGGCAATCATCTTGACAATGTCCGCGTACTTGGCGCTCTCCGCAAAGATCCGGGGTGCCTCTGGAGACGTCCACTTCCACGTCCCGGAGAAATCGTGGAACGCAGACATGATGATGCTGTTCCCTTTGACCTCCGACAGCCGTCTCCGGATGTCTTCGGGCAGCCACAGCTCCACATCAATGTACTCCACTCCCCACTGAATCGCCCGCCGCAGATACTTGTAGAAGAGCATCGGGTCATCCATGGGGAATTTGCCATTCTCCTTGGTGCACCGGGTGGTGAAAATAATGGGCAGCTCCGTATGCTGCCGAAGCAACATCAGCTGCTGCCCTACGTAGCGAAGGCTCGGCACCGACACTTCTGCCCCCTGGGGTGGTTCAGGATCAACTAGCAGATCCACGCGGATTTCGACGGCATCCGAGCCCACAGAGAGGATGTCGAGGTTTGGCAGGGCCGCATGCACATCCGGGAATGTCGTGGAGATGAAGTTGGTCCGGTTCTTGGTTTTCAAGTCCTCATGCGGCCGAGTCTGACCCAGGATCAACGACAAGAAGCGAGTCAGGTCGCGGCGAAAGAAAGGACTGCGCAGAGAGTAGAGGAACTCATAATGGCAGCGCTCGGTGAGTGCGTCATCCGGAAACGATCCATCGTCGACACAATGCGTATTGACCAGAATACAGGACGCCGGGTCATCCACTTGCAAGCTTGCAATCGAATCTTCCGTGGCGAGAAACCCTACGACGACGGCGTTGCTGCCTGGGCCAAACGTAGACAGTGAGGTTTCGGTAGTCCATGGCTTGCCGAGGATATCCGCAACCACTTGAACGATGGCCTCTTGCCCCGGACTGTAGACTGTAACGACCGTCCGTGCAGGCTCCGGGGGCACGGTTAGCGACGAAAAAGCAGAAGATGTGGTAGAGCCTTTGAGAGCCGTGAGGGATGAAGTAGCGGCATCAGCCAAGAGTGTCATCCCCATGGGCTGATGAAGGGCTGTCTGCATCATCTCATTGCATATGCAGTATACTGCTCCTTCTCATACTTGGATGCGACCGTTGGATGTCGAAAAAAGATACGTCACGTTGACTCTCCCGTCGATCGCGGAGAAGAGATCACGGAACAAAATCAACAACGGACGTAGTAGTATATAACAGTAAGAGTAGTAGCAGCAGTAGTAAGTCAAGACCGGTTATAGATGTAGTATGTATGTACTGTATGTGGCATTGATGGACCCCAACCAAACTCGGGAAAGTGATATCTGCACCAGAGCCGAGTACACCGACAGACAACCCCAAGCCCAAGAAAGACAAGGAGGGAGAGTCAAGTACTACTAAGAACGGAGCGCCGGCGGAAAGACAAGACAGCGTCGGGGCTTAGCGTTTAATAGCCGGAAAGTCGGAGTCAAATGCAAGCAGATTGGTTTAGGGGCTTCACGCCGATCAACAGAGTTTCAAGACAGTGAGGAAGAGGGGGGAAGCAGGAGACAATGTAGAGAAGATCTGGAGAGAAGGAACGACATCTGCTCGGGAAGAGATGAGAAGGGATTCAGCCGATAAAGGGAGCAGATCGAGATGAGGGAGAGAGCGGGTAGAGAGCAAAGACTTGGAGAATTGGAGCTGGAGACTAGCAGTCAAGATGGCATGGATCATTGGCGATGGAGAAAAGAATCGAGGAATTTCCCCGGAATCCCAACTCCGCCTACCGGGGGGGCGGAGGCCATTTCTCCGCCAATCACGGGTGGGACTCGTCCTCTCCCGTTTCCCCAGCCTCCAAAGAGTTAGTTCACCTGATGCTTGCTTGCTATTCTTCCGACAGACCATCAATCCTACTCCATGTATTACTACGGAGTATGTAGATACTACTGTGCGTGCTCTTTCATCTCGCTACTTCCTAAGGCAGGGTCTGGTAGACAAGATTCTAGAATTAACTTCAGTAGAACTCCATTTACATCCATCTACATCAAACCAACAATATCTCCACGCTGTCGATCGGTTTCCTCACCCCAGATCCAGGCAGCATCCAAGCATCCCAGCATCCCAGCATCCCCATCTATTGGACACGGTCGCGTCTATCAGGATGATCTGTCTCACCAGCCATCACCCCTCAAGCTCCCATGATACGAGGAAAAAAACCCCTCCCATAGCGTTATCTACACCCCTTCTTGTTGGTTCGGACATGCCCACCTGCGGCAGTTCCCTGGCCGGGGAGTAACCCGGCGTCGTACCCCGTAGGCCAATTGACGTTGCATCGTTCATAAAAAGTGGCCGCCATCTCCACCTCCCTGCTGCATCGTAGCTGACCTTAGTCCCCGGATGCTCCGGCCAGCTGGCCTGGACAATCAGCCTTACAGCCAGGGCCGACGCCCATATTCTACATAGTACTTCATCAATGCAATTGCATATCGGTGTACCACAGGTGGCAAGTGGTCAATTGGTGCAGAAGGAACCTTATGTAACATGACGGCTGAATCCACCAATAGTCCAGAAAGGCACTCGAATAGATTAAAAGAAATACCAGCCAATCAAAAGGGGGTATTGGAAAGAAACAAAAACCAAAATGCTCTCGAAAAAAAGACAACAAAGAAGTTCGAATAATGACACCAGGTAAGAAATGCATACCTGTTCCAGCATCGGTGGATGCTCGTTCATGTTCAGGCAATTGGGTTCAGCGCAGCATATGTATGGGGGAGGTATGTGGTAGTTATGTGTACATGGATGCATATGATGTATGTACTCCGTGACTGCAGAGCCAGGTGTGACTGGCAAGCCAGACAAGCATTATTATGCAAACTGAGGTCGTCATGGTGTATCCAATAACCCCGGGCGATCATGCCTCAGGATGAGCGGCCCGTTCACGTGAAGATATAGATCACCCGAGGCCTTCATTCCATGACCTTCAGTCAGACGTTTGATGTTTTTTAGTAAGCAATAGACCTGGCTTGCAGACCAGATGCTGCAATCCAGGGGTTATGTTGCGCCGGAATCTGAGGCACGGTGCGACGAGTGTTTCAAACACGGTCGCGGGCCACTCGTAAGTGATATTTGATGATAATAACCCACCGCACGTATCCACATGTCTCTACTCGCATGCAACAGCAATAGCTCCGGACCAAGAGATACGACATGAGATACGTGGCGGTCTGGTGTCACACGGGGCCGTGCCATATCCAAGGGTGATCTTTCGGAATGTGCACTCCACCAATGTGATGCTCCCTCCTTAAGGGGGTGATATGGCAAGCCCATTCATGAGCTTGGGAAGCGGCTTTCTGCGTGCAGTATTTGCCGTCTTCGAGACCCGAGGCGCCCCATGGATCATGCGGGGTTCCTTCATCAGACTGTTATCGAGCTTCGCCGGTGCTGTCATTTGATGCTTTGGTTAGCTCGAGACACAAAAGGGAAAGGACGGGTCACAAACCTCGTGAGACTAGCCGGCTATAGTCCCCGGACATGGTGTTCTGGCTCCTACTACCCCCTCCAAAGGATGTGGCGCTCGCGGTTCTCCAGAGGTGGTTTGACGTGTCAGATAGGAAATCGGTCATACTACGACCGGAGAAAATAGAGGATCGGCCCCGATTGCGCTTGGACAGAATGATCTCATCAAATAGGGTCATCCGAGGGTCTCGCGACTTGGGATTCGCTCTCTCCCGTTCGCTGATGAACTCGTTAAAGCCTAGTGACACGTCAGCAATTGCGACCATCAGCTCGTAAGCCACTGTGTCTTACCTTGTGTCTGTTGCAGGACAGCAATATATTCCGCATGCTCCCCGGGCAAGCTCTTCATGAAGGCTTCCATGTTGAAGTTGTATGTCAACCCAGCTTTCTTTTTGTCACCAGTGGCGGGCTGAAGGAACTTCTTGTATGTGTAAAACAGGCTGGCAAAGCATCGGACAAACGCAGCGCGAACTTGCTCGGGGTGGAAGGCGGCCGGACACACAAGACATATCTGGAGGGCGCACCGGTTGTGCACCACTGTCTTACAGGCGGTACACTTGTACATGTTTTCTTCTGCCTGGTCATCGCAAATTGCACAGGTGGCCTTGTCGTCCCACGGCTGTACTTGCAAGCAATGTCCCTCCACCCAGCAGGTACCCTCTGCGTTGTGAATGGGCTGCGCGGAGGCCTGGGGCACTATCGTCGACGCAGCGACTGTGGACTGTGCATACACCGAAGGTGCGTAGGTGGAACCCGGGTTATAGTCGGTGTTCAACGTAGTTACAGACAGATTGGGTGCGTGGCCGAGGAAGGGAGCACTGGGCCGGCGCGGAACACCGGTACGCATGTCCATCCCGAATGAGGAGCTACGCCGAGATGCTGCATCAAAGTGGCCGGAACGTTTCTCGCGCAGCGATGCCTGCAATGTCGTACCGGAATCAGCACGGGAGCCGGAGACCGACGGGAAATGGCCGGACGTGGGCGAGATGTCTCTGGGAGACGGCGGGGAGCCGGTCTTATGCGTGGAGCCAGTTCCCGGTCGGTCTAGGCCCTTGGACGAATACCCCCTTGAAGCAGCCTGCTCATAGCGAGCATGCAGGTAGGCGTTGAAGATGAGTGGGGGCTGGGTATTTGGGGTTACAGAAGTGGCTCCGAAAGCGCTCGAGTTGAGACTGACGTACCTCGCCAACTGGGTAGACTGAGCCTTGGACGAGAAAATAGAGGAATTCTCCGACATGAATGAATCGAAGGGGTATGTTTCCACGGCATATGCCGGTGGCCCAGTGGGTACTCCGCACCGACTGTGATGAGGAGCAGCCAGCTGGAGCAAGGAAAGTAGCTTTCTGCGCTGATGACGAGGGAGAGGGGTTGGTTGAACAGTGCTTTCGATAAGGTCGGCATCCAGGTCGACCAACACAAAGTCATCTGACGGAAGCTCGACCTTCTCATAACGACGCTCAATACCTACAATGTAGGGACAAGGGGCTTCCAGAGCCTGGATGAGTCGTGCGGGCAGGATGGGAATAAGCACACCGGCCCACTGCAGTGGGAACAACAGGTCAACGATGGCCTTAGTCGCCAGGTACAGCATCGATGTGTGGGATGACAAGAGGATAATGCGCGACTCCGTGAGAGCGTACTCGAACAAGATCATGATGTTCTGTAACGACAGGGCCCGGAAGAGCGCATAGAGGTCGGTGTTCCGAGAGCCCGGCAGCTCATTGGCAGCCTCCTTGCGAGCAAAAAGACGCAACTCACGCACCGCAAGCTCCACCTGTGTCTTGGACGAGTTGGGACTGAATGCCTCAGTACACAGGTTCATCACATATCGCTCCAGGGGTTGCCAGATGCCCATGCGTGGGGAGCTTGGGGGAATCCGCTGGAGGCTGCCGTCCGTCATTGGAACAACAACAGCCTTCAGCCATTCCTTCCAAAAGCTGGTCATGTTTTCCTCTCGTCCCAGGATACCGTAGGCGCGGGGAATCCAGAATCCAGTATCCCCATCTGTCAAACCCTCGATCTTGGATGCTGCACCGTGACGGACTGGCCGCAAGAGATCAGTCATCAAGGTGATCTTCTCTTCTACGGCACTGATCTCATCTTCCAACTGCTCTCGCGACTCTGACCCTGAAGGAACGGTGGGTAGCTGAGCGAGAAGCCTAGAGAGTTTAGCTCGCTCACTTGCCAGCCTCTCACCCAGACTTGCCGCCAACTCCCTCTCTTCATCGGTCATATTGTCTTTCCGCCACTCCTCGCAACGCTTCTCAAGTTCTTCGGCCGCTCGCTGGTTGAGTGGGATCCAGATGATGAGACAGATGGCGTGCAAGCGTGAGCCGTTATCAGTAGTCATAACGAAGCCGTGCCAAGTGGATCGCGGCCTTTGGTCCGACGAGACTATGTTGATGTCGTTCGGAAAAGCAAACATGGGGACATAGTCCGGGAAATTTCCTCGCAGCTTCAGTTCGTCGGACATGCCTTTTGTCGGATACCGGTCGAGCAGGACGGGCTCGAACCTCCGCTTTAGGGGGTGCATGGTGGGGGAGATTTCGAGCGGTTGCGGGACAGGTATCACGGAGTTGTAGTTACTCAGACGTCGTGAGGTACGGATAGATGCTGTAATTGTTTACTGTTAGCCATCTATATTCTATACTCCCTATTGTCGGCCCTCCCCCTTCATTTACCCCACCAGGATCTCTACTCACCTTGACGAGCAATCGACGGTTGCCTCTTCATACTGTTCATATCGCGGAATGCCATGTGTCGCCGCACACTACCTATGCTAGACCGGAGCAGGCCCGCAGGCTGTGGGGTCTCCTCGGAGACGATCTTCTGAGTGCGTAATCTGGATCTGGGACGAGTCGAGGGGGTGATTGCGCCCGCGCTGACATTGAGATCCGACAGAAACGACTCCCTCTCCGACGCGAACTTGAACAGCGCTTTGTCAAAGTCGAAGTCTTCGAGAAAGGAGGAGCCCCGGGGAGAAGGGGCACCCTTGATTGTCATACTGCTGCGGTTGCTGTGGGTGCCATTCTCGTTGGGTTCGGGATCGACCGAGCGCATGGAGAAGCGCTGGAAGGAGGTACGGTTTCCCGCCATGGAGATGGGACGAGAGAGACTGTCCAGGTGGGAATCCTCCTCGGCATCGGCATCTTCCTCGATGGTATCTGTAACGGCGGGGCCCGGTGAAGTGGCATTGTTGGCACGGTACTCATCCCCTAATTTGCGATAGGTTTCCAAGACCTCTGTTCCATCGACACCGGCAATCCAGAAGTAGTCGGCGAGCGGGGTGGTGGACGCTTCGGGCGGGGAAGAGGAGGAAGAGGAGGAGGAAAAAGGCATCTCGTCGAATCGTCACTGAGAGATCGCAGGGTTGTACTCATCAATCGTCACAATTCGTCGGGGTCGTCACAGCATGGAGTAAATGCAATTGCTAGATGTTCTGAATTTCCCAGGAACATCAACAGTGAGGAGGGAGGGGGGAGAAAATTTTCAGAAATTAGGGGGGGTTGTGTTGCAGAATCACGGGCGGGTGGTGAAGACAGTAGTAGTAGTAGTAGTAGTATTAGCAACTAGAACGCATAAGTCTAGAAATGCGACGCTGTCGCGAACGCGAACGGGCAGGATGGCTGGGGCTCTCAAGCGTCGGTGCAGATGCAATGAGGGGAATAGAAGGACGAATTGCAGAAAGGCAGATGCTGAAGAGAGGAGACGATCTGAGAGGTTGATCTACGCATTGACAAGAAAAAAAGGAGTGTCGGTTAGTGGAGGAGGAGGGAGGGAGGGAGGGAGGGAGAGCCAGCGAGAGCGAGAGCGAGAGAGAGCGGAAGAGAGACAGGTGAGGGGGCCAAGAGGGAAAGGGAAAAAGAGAGACAAACTGGAAAAAGGAGGAATGCTTTGACAGGTGTCTCTTTGTGTAGGAATGGGAAGAAAGTTAAGTTATGGTTCCTTAATTTTTTAGAAAAAGACTCCTAACCTTCTTTATTTTTTCTTTTTTTCTACTTTTGAATATTATTATTATTATTTTTTATTTTTCTAATTCTTGCTTGACTTCAATGGTCATAAATTTCTTCTGTCCTATTTTTTTATAATATAATTTTTTATTTTTCGAACTAGACTTACCACGCAGACGGATGGTTGCGTAGACACTGGGAAGGGGGGGAAAAGCGAAACGGCTGCCAAAAGTCCAATCCAGCCCCGGCAACCCCCGTGTGTTCCCCCCCTCCTCCTCCTCCTCCTACTTCCTCCTTCCCCTTCACGGTTGATCTGCTACTAGTAGTAGACTGTCCGACTGCTACTACACACTGTCTGTCTACACCCTCCCCTGCGCTCTCCTGCGCACACGCACTACTACCACCACAGCCGTCACTTCCTTCAATCTTCCCTTTATAAATTGTTTAGTGCAGTCTTCTCCCACAGGTCGATCCGAGATTCCACATCTATTAAATTCAGGAAAAGAAAAGAAACTATAAAAAGAAAGTCTACCAAATGGTTGGAATATCAACTACATGTGGATCATGTCAAACAAAGAAGATGGTCGGAAAAGGGAGAGGCGATAGAAGCAGGCAGAGCGAAAGCAATGTGCAGCCAGAGAAAAGAAAATAACAAATAAACGTGCAGCTCTGCCCAGATTGGAACCGGAATACAACGAGTCGGTGGGACATCCTGCTGCTACGACGGAGTACTACTGCCGCTCACCTACTATTTAGTAGGCAGACGCAGTTCCCAGGTACCAACAACCTTTTTCACTCCCCCCAAAGTCCCGGGCGCGACCATGAACTACTGTAAGTGTGCATGGTTGGGTGCGTCCCGCCAACCACCATCCGCAGCCGTGCAGCAACTCCCGCATCAGCTGTGTTACGAGGATCCGCTTGCTTGCTTGCGGGCAGAAGAAAAGGAAAGCAAGGTAGCTGATAGGACGGGCCAATACTTGGTGCAGCTGCCGCTGCTTCCTCCTACCAAGGACTACTGTGATACTCGGTATAACTGCTGAGAGGTATGCACATAACTCACTGAGTACAGCTAGGCATCCGGAGCACAGAGGAACTTGCATCCTCATCTGTGAGGGACAGGTACGGTAGGTAGCATATCAATCGCTGGGCCCTCAGTGGATCCCGTCGCGCACAAATGGCTTGGCTCACCGGCAACTCTTTGCTCCTGAATGGTCCTCGTTGGATCGCTGCAAGAGAACTACCGTTCGGAATAACCATGGAAAACACAGACCATTACGTCTTCTCTTATCGTTACGGCCGCCGAGGGTTGAAGTTTGGGGCTGAGAAAGAGGCCATGTGGAGCACTTCGAAGAAAATGCGGGATTTCGAGGCCACTATGGTAATTATTGTTATTCGTATTATGCATTCGTTGGACACACAGTTATCGCTCCTCTCATTGTGTCCGACCGACAGGCTCGACCGTGAGGTGAATCGAAGGCTAATTCCTTACGCACACGCACACAGCCAGCCTCCTGCTAGCTGTGCCTGGGGCGAAGGAAGTACGGAAGACTAAAGGTAGCAACATCGGAGTTCCTAAATAGGTAGGTAAGTGCCAACCAGACTTCGGAGATCGCCATGACAAACGATGATTGGAGGACCAGCAACGCAGCCTTGAATCCCATGGATCCAGAATTGTTAGAGCTGAAACTGGAGGGCGGTTCCTGAAAGGGGGAAAAGGGTGCGGTTATCTCTGGACCAAGACAGCCGAGGTTCTCACTTCTGCATTGTGGGAGTAATTGCAAAGGACCGAAGCGCATACCAAACCAATTTCTTTTAACAAGATAACTCACTGATCTTGTGGGTACAAAAATTTCAGCACGATTCTGGATGCATATTTTTCATATTTACCTCAGACAAAAAGAAAGGAGGTGGATCCTCTGGACTCTCGCACCCGACCACCCGAGAACTCCAAGTCGAAATGGCCCGGGGTTGCGTTGATGATCGATGTGGAGCCGAAGCAATGACGATAATCCGGTGCCAAAATCTATTTCGCCGGTCGACACCCGAGACGAGACATATTAATTTTGAGCAGATAAATGATGAAGTTCAATCAAATATTATTACGATGAACACTATCCTTATATTGTCGAGACATGGATTCGTTCTCCAACTCACGCACCATACCCAATGGGGTAACATCACACCGTCACAGAATAGATAAGACACCGGCATAGATTGAGGAACCAGTTTCACCATTTTAAACTTAATCCAACCAGTGCCCCTTAACTCCGGCTTCATAGGGCTCAGCGTGAGAAGAAAACCTCATACATATTACCAAATCAAATCCCGTATACTACTATCTATATAGGGAAAACGAGCCACCACTCACTCACTCATCTCAGGCCGCCACCAAACACTAAGGTATGTACCCACCACCACCACCACCACCACCAAAGGCAAAAAGAAAAATCATAAATCCAGTGGCTAGTACAGTAGACCAAACCCTGCAGCAATCAATGTGTAGGTTTTCATCATACATGCATACAATCTAAACCACAAATGGACAGCAATTTCAGCCTTCCCAGCCCAGCCCATCTTTACTTCTTAAGAAAGAAAGACGGGCAGAAAAGATGAAGAAAAGAAAAGAAAAGAAAAGAAAAGGAAACCAAAGAGAAAGTTCCAATAATGGTTCCTTGCATAGCCCTACTTCCCCGGACTTGCTTACCCGCATGATTGATGCAGTAGACCAACCAAGCCAAGCCCAAACCAACCAAGCATTTTACAGTAGTCAGTTATTTGGTTGCTTCAGATTGTTCTCTATTTTCACTTGATTTTTCAAGCCCTACGCAGCCTGCCTTGTGGACTTAAAAGAGAAAGAAAAGAAAGAAAAAGGAAATCGGTGATGTTCCGACCGATCTACTTACTGTTATCTCCACTGACTACTAACGCTACGGAGTATTCATTACGGCTTGGGGGTTCTCTTTTCGCCATTTGATGTTAACAGTTTCCCTAGACTATTCTACTCTCTTCTACGGGGCATAGATATTCTCCATAAATACCACTTACCTACTAAAACCCACCTTATTCATTTATCAATTACTACGTATCGACCTAGGACCCCGTCCCGCTGTGGATGGACATTTGACACCTCTGACAGGGACGGAGAGAAAGAGAGAAGAGAGAGAGAGGGGCGGTGACTAAACCAATTCGAACATGTAGTTACATAATAATCCCCTACGTAGTAAAATTAGAGGATAAAGTAACAAATTTAAACTTTTATTTAGCTGTTTTGCAGATAGAGTAGTTAACTTATAGATATTTATTAGTCAGTAGATAAGTACTTGCAAGTTGAAGAAAGGGGGGGTCGGGCGGTCGGTCTGTCGGTCGGTTGGTGATGGAGAGTTTGTTGTAATGGCTGGGACGGAGCAACAGCGCCCGCAGCATCATACACACACACCGTATAGTAGTATACAGCAGGTATAGCCAGCCCAGCCCAGCCTGTAAGGCAGAGAGCAGTTGCATGTTCTGGACCTTGATCAGCCCACTGACTGACTGACTATCATCCAGTGTACTGGTGTGGATAAAATATCCGTGTTATCCCTTATTATAGCCACGATGTCTTTGATTTTCTAGACATACCATACTAACTGTCGGGAGGGAGAGAGACAGAGAAAGAAGAACGCCAGCGAGTCAAGTTAAGACATACTAACTAGTACTAATTATATCATCCCAAGACTGAATGTCATTGTCAGGGATTTTCCTTCTCTTTCTTTGGCATCCATGCAAGGCCAAGAAAAAAAACCCCCAAAGTAAAAATCCAATCCAACTCTAGCCTAGCCTACTAGTCTATTCTTCTTCTTTCTTTTCTGTCTACGGGGGCTAGAACATCCAAATGCCGAATAATCCATCCGTCAACCTGCCACTCAGCTGGTTCTATTTTATTCTATGGAGTACGTACGTATTCTATTTATTCTTCTAGGAGTGGACACATGACAACAACTTGGTTTTTTTTTGTTGCTGAGTTTGAGGTAAATTTAGGTTTGACCTAGACCTATCTAGACCTGAGTACTAGACTTTTCTCTTTTACACTCCCCCCGACCGGTGGTCCGTGGGGAACGGTTGGATGGATGGTCTCGACCGCTCCCGGGGAGAATTATCATGTTATCTTTAGGTTTCAGGGTTAGTTTAGGTAGTTCCGTGGATTTTGACTATTTGCTGAGGTACAGGAGGGTGGTTGGTCAGTTGGATGGTTGGTTGGTTGGCTGATTGATGATCAACTACGTAGTAACTACTCCGTATTTACTTACGGTGCTGACTGTGTTGCACAAATAGCACATGGCTGGTCAGTTGTGGTGGCTCATCTATAACTAATCAAGGAATATAGTAATTCAACGACTCCTTCCTTATGGGGAACAAAATCTACCTAAAGATAGAATGGAATACGGCCAAGCTTCCGTCGGCGTTAACGGGGGGCGCCGTCGGAAGGTACCCTTTTTTTTTTTGTTTCTTCTGTACACCCCTAGACTAGTACTAGACTCCCTCAGATAAGCCCCCGAACATATGATGTTAGTCTCGTCGTTTTTCTTTGTCCCCGTTAAACGTGTGTAACCACCACGCAAAGTGTCGTAAGCTAGGGGATTGGGATTGGCTGCCCTGAGAAGGTTCGCATCCGTGCAACATCCGCTTGGCTCCCGTCTCATCCATTCATCTTGTGTGCTGATGCATGCCTCCGTGGAGTCGGTGATTGGTTGAGGAAAATCACCGGTGAGCTTGTGAGTCTTCAGACTGCCACACACGGAGCTGGAGGGTTCGTCGGGATCTGCGCTGGCATCGTTGGCTGCAGTGTCTGGAATGTGTGTCTGTTGTTGTTACACAAGGGGGGTCAAAGGCCAAGAAAAGCCCGCTGCAGTTCAGGTACACAGCAGAGAGACAGTAAGCAGGAAATATTACGTCCGATTGGTCTGTCTCATGCCCGTCTTCGCGTCATCAAATTACCTGTCGTTAGGAATCCTTTGTCGCCCATCGCGCCTCTCCACTCAATCGACAGCTGGCCCAGCACGGCGCGTCCGTCGCGTTTCATGTCCTTCTGCAGGGTCTCCAGCCCTTCCTGTTGGCCCTCTTCTTGCTCGACGAGGAATGCAACCTGCAAGACATCCCGCGGATGTAGAGTCGGTGGCCGCGGATCCGCTTGATCCGGTCCTTGTAGATCCCAATTGAGAGATACGGCCTTGAATGGCGGTTTCGGGTTGAGCCTCGTTTGCTGTCAAAATTAGCATGTCGCCCAGGAGACGTCTCACTTTGGCTATGATTTGTGTTCGACGAACCTTGACCACCACAGGACCATCGCCTACGTTCTCTAGTTGCGCTTCCAGAGCAAACCGGAGCAGCCGGGTCTTGCCATATGGTCCGAGTGACTTGTTCTCGACTTCCAGGGGCGCCAGCTCTGAAGATTTGGTTCGAACACTCAAACAGGGCTGTGCCACGAACTGATAAAGCTTGCGGAAGGTTCTCACACGCCCGCTGGCTGCTTGCGCGTCCGACCCAATCAATGTCTCCGTGTAGCTGACGCTAACCGCCAGGATGTGATTCCCTTCCTCCTTGAGATCAAACCGTACTATTTTTTGTAGTGAATGGCCCTTCTGCACCCCGTCCTTCGAAGCCGTGTCTTCGGCCGGTTCTAGGTCTAATGCCGCTACCTGTGATGGTGTTTGCATCTCTGCCACTATACGAACCGATGTGACGACACGCGACGTCTCCTCGTCTGGCAACTCATTGTTGGCACTGAGAGTGCATGCAAACGTCTCACCCACATACGCAGATCCAAACGCCGGAGGGAGGGTTAACTTGTCGAACAGTCAGTGAGGTTATGACCAAACTTGGACGGTCTTCGTACATTGGGGGTGAGGATGAACTGATCGTCGACATTATCGGCGGGATAGCTGAGTGATGCTTTGCTTGAGATCTTCGTGTCTGCTGCCGGGAGGGGGTACTGATAGGATAAGGAAGGTCGCGATAGCCTTGCACATTTAGGAACAAGCGGAGCCGTCGGGTCAAGTTCGGTGCTTACCGCAATACTGGACAAGATCAGCCAAGGTACCATGATAAAAGGGTGTCCCGGCAAAGCGTACCTTTGAGAGAGACTGCATGTGGCTCTTTAGGGGCATCAGCGCCCGAGTGAGCGCGCGGGCGTGCCATGGAGGGATGTGATTGCGAGTTGAACCAGAGCCGGACGCGGCGTCATTCCGTCGTTATCAGCGCCGCACTAGCTTCAAGCAAACAAGCCAAATGAGGCAAACCGAACAAACCTCCGCATTGGCCGGGATACGCGAACTACTGGATCATCCCTGGTCAAGCTTGACTTGATAGCTCCGATTTCCTACTCTCATTAGACAAATGGAGATATCCGAACCAGCCTTAGGATCGTCAATGTGACATCTATAGTAGATCTTAATGCTAGGCAGGTTCTTGATCACGCTTTCTCCCAGATCTGTCATTTCTTTGGGCATTAGCCTGATTATGTCATGATCCGATCTGATTGCTTATCGATTAGGGGTCGTTTACTCCATACTACGGAAGTCGCCACTGCGACTATTCTTGTCTTGCTACGCCTCCTTTCTCCCTTTGTCAAGCTCGTGGCCTAGAATAGCTTCTGGGTTCAGAATGGGAGTGACACGTACAACTCCTTCTCGCCAGCAGCATGCGAACGCCTCCACCCCTACGGACGCTCGAGCTACACGCTCAAGAGCTGTGGCAAGCACCCCCGCATCGTCCAGGAAGCGAAAAGCGACTGAACAGAAGGTCACACCAAGCGCGTCATCAAAGAAGTCGCGTCGATCCACTACAACTGGTTCTTCCAATGATACCGTCGAAGTGATCGATTTGACTGGCGACACCCCTAGCCCTGCTAGAAGAAGAGCTCGAGCACCAGCATCATATGACGAGCTGACTCCTGAACGCCGAGCGAGAAGATTCCGTACCCACCCTCCCAGCACGTATCTTGATAGAGCTGCGCGTGCACTATCCCAGCGGTATGCCGTACTTCGTGTTTGGACCCTATAGAAAGCTAACTTGTTTCGTACAGCATGTTCGTTGTCGGACATAGTGTCACGGAAGTCGATGATGCGCCCGAGATATCTTTCGACATCGTCGGTACCACTGGCAACATCTATAAGACAACGATAGGGAAGGTGCCATCTTGCAGCTGCCCAGATGCTCTAAAAGGGAATCAATGCAAACACATCTGCTATGGTACGTCGAGCCCCTTGCGTAGACAGTTACCCCGCACCCTCGTCTCTCTGCTGGGTCATTCTGCAATGTCCGAGTTGCTGATTATTCTGGCTTGTGAAGTCCTAGTCAAGGCCCTTAGAGCGCCCCAGCATCTGCAATATCAGTTAGCATTCTTGTCGTCGGTAAGTTACGTTGATAGACGAATGAGATTGGAGTGCTCATGGTTAAACTATAGGAACTTCGAGAGATGTACAACGGCTCTCCCATCAGCCGCGAGCAGGCCAGCGCTGAAGAAAACAAGGATGGGAACAGGAAACCTGTTGAAGGCGACTGCCCGATCTGCTTCATGGAGTTTGAACCCGACAAAGAAGAGATAGTATGGTGCCGAGCAGCATGCGGAAACAATATACACAAGACTTGTTTCCAGAAGTGGGCCGCAACTCAGCAAGCTCAAGGAGTGAGATGCGTTTATTGGTATGTTCCATCACAAGGTTAAGAGCAAAAGCACAGCTGACTCTCCGCGCAGCCGTTCTCCTTGGCAAGCAGATACTGGTAACATGAAGCTTGATGAACTGGTCAAAGGAGCCAGTGTAGATTCTGATGGCTACGTCAATGTAGCCGATCAGCTCGGCCTGTCTGGAATTCGCGGTATGAGACCGAATCTGTGATTCTCACATTTATTTGTTTATTGCCTTCACGTAGGGCTGATACTGACGAGTTGAGTATAGATTGTTCAACATATCATCCTTACTGGGTGCACCGGCAATCGTCTCGTTATGGTTCGCGACGTGGTAGAGGTGCGTGGGACTACGCCAACCGATATTAGTAGTGAAGCTTATCCGTCTGGCCTGGATTTCTTGGATCGTTACAAGCGTCGCAAGTCTGAGATTGATACCCAGCGCATGTTATTCAGTTATTATCAATACATTGGTATCATTCTTCCAAATGGGCAATACATTTAGCTCAATCCAACGATGAGTCGAAATTGCACCAGACATAGATTGTGCTGTCTGTGCAGATAGATCTGAGGTCCTCCCTGCTGCCTGAGGTCCTGTCTACTGACCCCAAGTGGTAGTCTTGCTCGATATCACAGCGGCTTTTATCCTGGTAAACTTACAGCTCCAGTCAAGCCATCGCCGGTAAACAATAAGTCCATCTTAACAGATGAGCATCCAAAATCAACGATACTATATACCACGCCTGAGCCAACCCCACCGCTCAGATGCAACCTAAATTAGCCACGCAGACACATGGATAAAGTCCGTGTCCCTGACTCGAACCCGGCGCGCGCCCCACTGCATGGGAATAAGAGGTATCCCACCCTTCCAGACCGGGACAAGCACAACAATACCTGTAGAGAGAACCCCTCAGAGCATTCTCTACCACATAATGGATGCTAGCTAATGGCATGTATGCAAGCATTATATAGCCATGAAAGAAACTTGCTTTTGCCATGGAAATTCTTCATCCACTGTCCTTCACGACCCGCCGACCCCGACGAACAACAGCTACACTCACTGCTTCTTCGCCCGTCATCCACGAAGGCATCTTCTCTGCATTGATAATGCCGTTCTCGGCTAGTTTGCGGAATCCGCTGATTACGTCTGCACCGGTGAAGGTGAGGGAGAGGGTTGGTGTTGATGCTGTGGATGCTGTGGATGTTGATTTGGGATTTGGGGGATCGAGGAGACGGACATCGAGACGGTCGAGCGGAACAGAGGATAGAGAGGCGGAGGTACCGAAGCGGGATTGTACAGTTGAGGTGCGCTTTTTGGAGACGTGTGGGTCTTCGTGTTCGGTGTTGGATCGTTTGGGTGGTTTAGAGGTGGATGTGTCGGCGTTGTCGGGGTGCTGGTTCTCCTTGTAGTGCGATGGATGGTTCATGTGCTCTTCTGGGGTGACGGTGTTGGATGGTCGAGGGTCCAGGGGACTTCCTTCGAGGGCAGCATCGGCGAAGATGCTGAATGCGCCGGTGGATTGGTTGGCACGGCCGGGGCCGCGGAGGGAGAGGAGCGCTTGGAGACTCTTGGCTGTTAGGGAGGTGGGTTTGAGAGTGTAGCGTTGGTGGGGGAGAGACAGGGCCTTGGGGAGGGCGTCGCGGACGAGACGTTGCAGGCTGCGGGGGTCGGTTGCGATGGCGGTGGGGGTTGCGGATGCGCTGCTGGATTTGGAGGAGCCCGGGGTGGAGGCTATGGAGGTGTATAGATAGGGACAGCTGTCTGGGAATGCGATGTAGATGACGCGCGAGGAGTCGGTGAGGAGTTCGGCGGCCTGGCGCGGATGTTGGTAGGGGGAGTTGGTGACGAAGATGCGGAGGAAGGTGAGTGGGAGTGAGGTCGAGCGGGAGAGGTAGTAGTGCGCTTTTACTAGCGGAGAGATTTGTTGCTGGAGCTTGCTGAGGAAGGTTGAGGCATGGACGCGCGGGAGACATGCGGAGAGGTCGGAGGGGTCTGATTGTTGTTGTTGTTGTTGGCTTTCGATGCGGGAGAGCTCCAGTGCGGTCCATCGGAGGCTGGAGGAGTGGTCGTCGATGTAGCGAAGGTCAACCATGGCAAGTTGTCGCAGGGTGATCCCATGTCTCCAGTCGCCTTCGAGGATGCGATCAATTACTTCGCGTTTGCCGCCTTTTCGCAGCTGCAACTCCTGGTATGCGTTTCGGACATCGTTGACGGTGCGCTCCGCAGGATAGGGACTCAGTCCCTCGTCCTCCTCCTCTTTCTCGTCTTCGTCTTCTTGGAGATATGGTGGGAATGCCTGGAGGTTGCGATCTTCGAGCCATTGGAACGCAAGATCCAGCAGTGCTTGTCGGGTGAGCTTGCCAAAGGCTTTGACTAGGGACGGCGTGGAGGAGGGGATGCGGAGGTTGCTGGGTAGACTGGCGGTTGTAGGCGCGCGGACGGACTTTAGGCGGGCCATTGCGTGTGAGTGTTGATGGAAGACCTACTAGGTAGGTCCGTGGAGCAACAACTCGTCAGATTGGTAGGGCTGAGTGGTTACTTTGCTGAGTATGGAATTGGATAGATTGGATGCGGCGCGCAGCTACAGGATTGCCAGTGGTTCCTGGGGCATCAACAAACAACATCACGTGGAGATAGGATCACCGGGTCTTATCTTAGTGCGGTTGGCAGCGCAGGGGCTCCCGCATTCTAGTCGATCTGTCTCCAGTCATTCACTACTCCTCTTTTCATTGATTTGATGTCTGGATAGCGCTATAGATGCCGGAAATAGCGTGATTACAGGGTATGTTGTCTACACGTCGACTATCGTGTGATACATGAACATACCATATCTGCAAGGATGGAGAGAGGAGAGGTTGTGGATAACCTCATACGATAAGTATGCAGATCCCGATTATTAATGAGGAGGTTGTGAGGTTGTGCTCGCGGATAATTTTACCCTTTTTTGTAGTTTGGCACTTGGCTAACTGGATTCAGCAGGTACACGAGATGTGGTTTATAAGCAGGGAGATTAACTCCTCGCGAACCGCGCAAAACCCGAAGTAGAACAATAATACTAAACAATACTAAGGTCGCCAAGCCATCGGCCTCGAGCCAACCAGGGCATCCATAGCGGACACCCGGTCAGGCAAGTTTGGTAGACCATAAGCCAGTGCGAGGAATTTGTTCAATCTGACTTCACAAGGAGTGGCCAAGGTCGTCCCTAAAGTTCAACCGGTTTGGACCCTAAACCAGCCGGCGAAGGACCGGCGGCAGTGCGATTCTTTGGTTCCGCAGGCCCGACTTCGGCCACCGGAAAGAGGATGACTCGGCTTCGATGTCATCAGCGGAAAATGCATTTACTGTAGTGGTTAGTAGTGATTGTGCGGTGGCAACACGCGGCTCCCGGGTAACCCAGCGCAGGTACTGTGTACCTCAAGGGAGGGAAGGAAAAGTATCCAGATTCCGGGGCCCAGCGGATGGGGAGATTAGATCTAGAAATAATTTGGAAAAGAATACTTGATGGAGTGAATGATTGCAAGATGATGCAAGTAGCGATCGGAGCGAGACAAAAGCGTAAGTGAATGGAGAGGGACGGTTAGTCACCGGGATTATTCAACGGGGCCATTGTGCCGCATTTTCCCCCCGATAACTTAATAATCAGCGGCTTCCCTCCAATTCCCCCGCCCCGCCGCAAATTCCCACTCTTTTTCGTCTCCGGCTGTCCCACACTCCAAACTCGACTTGACCCTCTTTCTCTCCTCGACTCTTCCCACGCCTTTTATCCTCTCCTGTCTCGTCTTCGGATCCCACTGACACCCCATATCGCCTGCATTGCGACCCCATCGATTGGTCCGCTCACGACGAATACACTGTGCGGGTTACCGTGAACGGTTTTGAATACTTGGTGGTGATCGTATGACCAAGTGTCCCCGTGGAGAGGGACTTCGATATAGAAACTACGAAACCTGACTACAATCCTCAATACTCGCATCGCCGGATTTCAGGGAAAGAGGCCCGTAAAGCCTCAAAAACACATCATGTCCGAGTTCAACGGCCGTCGGGCCCCCAACTTCTCTCAATATCTCGATGATCTGAATGCCATTCCTTCGCCGTACGATCAGGCCCTTCAGCAGCAACATCAGGATTCATACAACCTCGAAAATGAACTCTCGCTTTTTACCAATGCCGAATTCTTTGATTTCGACAAGTTTGCCGATCTGAATCTGCCCAACTTTGACCAGCTGGAGGACAACACAGTCAAGAAGGAAACCGCGCAAGACACCAGCTCTGACATGGACTTTTTGAATCTTTTGGGAGGTGAGTTGCCGCAGATTCTCTTTGAAAACACCACGACATAAAACTCTTGGGTCCAAGCTGGGTGGTTACGGGCAACTGTTGGGGTATTGTTGAAGCAGCTGCATACTTCCTGCATGTGCACCGCTTCGCCAGTTGCTTCAACCACCAGCCCTCATCAATGTGCTTTTTCCATACCTTCAGCCCGCCATCCCCCTCTTTCATTTTTGCTTTGTCCAATTTGCTTTGATTGTGCGAATCTCGTACCCTCTCAGGGACTAGTACTAGTGGGAGAAGCTTTACTATATCCCTGAGACACGAGCTGTTCCTTCCGCCGCGCACCTCATCTGCACGCTCTCTCATTGGCTCGTATGCTGCACGGGGTCCTCTTTGTCTGTGCGCGATCGCAAAACGTGCAGCAGCCTTGCCTTGGCCTGGGATAACGCCAATCGCTCTGGTGATGGCGCCATACCACGTGACCCGTACAGCGTGGGAGGTTGCATAGAGGCAACCTTTGTGGCACATCCAAGATGATCTGGGCTCGTGTTGATCCCAGTGATGCTGTGCTTTATACCCCTTCCGCCCAGCTTTGGACCCTTTTCCCTTGGTCGACTTGCTTGCCTCATCAGGGGCTTTCATCCAATCATGAAAGTCATGACTAACGTTCTCTAGAAGGCTTCGGCAACGTCAACGACATTTCCTCTACTATGAACTCCATCAACACCCAACCTTTGCCGGTTCAGAACACACAGTACTCTGCAGTTCCGTCCCTGCCCAACGGTCCCCTCAACATCAACCCTGCTCCTAGCCAAGCGGCTTCTCAGCCCTCCCCGCAGTCCTCGATCACATCCCCGCCGTCTGCGGCTGCCACCCCCGCCCCGGCTACCACCGCCCCGGCAGCAGGACCTAAGCGCAAGAACACTCAGAAGACCCCAGCCATGAGCGTAGAGGAGGCCGCGCGCGTTGCCGCTGAAGAAGACAAGCGTCGCCGGAACACCGCCGCGAGTGCCCGTTTCCGCGTGAAGAAGAAGATGCGTGAGCAAGCTCTCGAGAAGACCGTCAAGGAGACCACCGAGAAGAACACTGCGCTGGAGGCTCGCGTCACGGCCCTGGAGCTGGAAAACCAGTGGCTCAAGAACCTGATCACTGAGAAGAACGGACAAACCTCGGAAGAGGCCAAGAAGTCGGAGAGCGACATCGCCGCCATGTTCAAGAAGTTCCTGGCTTCTCAACAGCAGAAGGAGACCGAACGGAGTAGTTCTGAGTCCAAGATCGGCGTTGGCACTGCCTAAACCCGACATTCTTGTGTTGTCTTCTTTTCTTGCTTGTTCATTTGAGCTTTGTAGATGATGTTTATGCAGAGTCGCTGATTCTCCCATCATTTTTTTTATTTCTTCTTATTTTTTTACCCTTTTTTTTCTCTCTTTCTTATATCTAATGGTGTACATGAGGGGATGGCGTCGCGGTGCTCGGAAATACCTAGGCTCGTCGGTGGCATGAGTGATGTTTATGAAGTACAAAAATCTTCGATCGAAACAGATCAGATCAGGCAAAGCTGTTGTGCATATATCACACACACACGGTACCTGTTTCTCTAAAAAGCACATGACCATGAAAATGAAACATTGACAATCAGTTATAACGTCCCGTCTCTATTTCTGTATAAGTACGCGTATATCCTACCTAATGGTCAGCAATAGTCACTTGTGTGGACCTAGTGATCTGGCGTTAACAACACTGATTAAAGCAAAAAGTTTTAATCTGCTACTACAAGTGAAGTAAAGGTCTACTATCTACTCTAGTCATCATAAGAAAATTGAAAATGTTACTTACACTCGTTTATTCTTCCTCATTAACACTCCCCCAACGCGAATGTCCAACGCACATAATAGGTACTATTGTGTATTTCATAGGATATGCACAGCTGATGTACTTCACCTCCAAAACACGAAAAGAGGAAAATAGCATAGCAAATACAGTCATGTAAAGTAGATAATGCAAGAAACAGAATAGCGGGACAAAGATAATTTGACATCAAGAAAAGATGGAAGAAAAAACAGGATAAAAGCAGAGATAAAGATAACATTGATCAATGTGCCATACATGCTTGCAAGCCCTTGGGGATATCAAATAGAAACCGTACCGTACCGTGCCGTGCCGTGCCGTCCGTCCGTCCGCCCAGATAGATAAGTCCTGTCCCGTGTGCACCGTGCCCAGTCCCGCGTTTATCCATCTTACCGATCTTGGTTCTTGGTATAGGAGGGGGATGTACAGATGTGCAAGAGGAGTGAAATCAGGAAAGGGAATATGTGGAATGAATATCAAACGCCGTTCGCCTCATAGCAAGATAATAGATAGGTTGTGGGGGTATGTGGAGGGAGGGACTCATTCAGTCTCTGGGTGAGTTAGTGATAAAACGAAACCCTCCGTGTATGTGGTTGCATTAGTCATTACTTGGAAAGAAAGAACGCGGAAGCAAAAAGAGCAAGAAAGCAGAACAGGGTTCACTCAATCTGTCATGGAATATCTCATCTTGCGTAACTTCGTTGCAGTTGTAAAGAAGGAAAGAGAATGGAAAATTTTCTTTTCTTCTTGGAAATCTGGGTGGGAGAGTTGATTCGATACCCGATCAAATCAACCACCCTACTCACCAGAAAACTCTCTCTTCATGTCTGTCACACCCTCAACTTTGATTTCGGGCTCCTCCGCTCTCCCTTCGGCGAGCTTCTCTTCATCGCTCTCTTCACCGTTAATCTCTCCCCATCCTGAGCTGCGACGGCTGATTCGCCCCGTCAATGGTTGGTTGCTTGACGGCCCGGACCATGGACTGCCCATACCGGTCCCAGTGATGCTGGCTGCATTGCTGTCGTGGCGACTGTGCGATTGGGCCGCGCTGATGACACTCGCACCGTCTCCTGCAGTGGCGTTCTTGTGAAAGCTGCCGCGCTCACCGCTCCCTGTGAGAGGCGCGGCCCCGGACGCCGAGTAGACGCTGGCACGCTCAACACTGGCAAGACCCACTAAGCTAGGTCTGTTGAGGACACCCGGCGGATTGAATGAAGAGGAGGTCGCTGACTCTCCGACATTTCCACTCAGCACACTCAACGGTAAACTCTCACGGCTGCCGCCGAACACGGAGGACGGCGCCAGGGCGCGAACAGAGGCATTTGTGTCCAAAGAGTTTCTGCGGCGCCTCTTTGATGACGATGCGAGAGTCAGAATGGAGGCGTTGTCGGTCAAGATATTGTTGGCTGTCGCAGTACTATAGGTGACCGAGTGGCCATGAGGGGCAAGGTGGGGCGGCACGGCCGTGGCTGGCGACGGGGGAAACTGATGAGAAAATTGCACCTGCTGCGTCGCTGGATTGTGTAAGGAACCGGTATGGGTCAGACCATGATGCTGGTTTTGCGTATTGTAGAGCTGCCCGGAAGGTGCTGCCGATTGCACAGTGGTCAAAGTTGTGGTCAGAGATCGCACCGATGGCGCGGGGGATGAGAAGGTGCTCCCCTCGCCTCCCCCCTGCGAACTGATGCCACCACCCGCTGTAGCCATCGTCCCTGCCTTGGAATATGCTGCATCGGAGATGGCCGTGTCGCCGTTGGTTGAGATGGTTGGCGCGGTGGACTTCGCACTGGTGGCTGGGACCTGCTGCTCGTACCCGGAGTATGCGAGAGAGGGTTCGCTCTGCGAACAAGACCTCCGATCGGAATCTGCGCTCGCCTCGGAAGTGTTGAAGTCGCTATTGTAGTCGGGAACCATGTGGGCAGTGCCCGACAGCGGGTAGGGGTTGTTCTTCGAACTCCGGCTTTTGTATTTGGGCATCGCATGACGCTTGTTGGACCAGCGGTTGGCACTTGAATCGGTAGAATGCTTGAGACTGGCGAGTCGCTTCATCCAGCTGGAAAAGGGGTGGCGACGTCCATTGCGATCTATGCCTTGTACATGAGCAACAACCCAGACAAGAACTTCTGAGATGAGCTGAATTCACTCACCATGTGCCCTGGCGGGCCCTTCAGCCGTGGCCATTCTGGCCTTCCAACAATCCACTGGTGAAATAGCCAGTGAAAGTGAGTGTTTATGCGATCGCCACACTCACGACACGTTCCCCGTAGCGAGTGATGCAAGTCCACAGGGATACAGCGATAGACGGTTGGCCGATCAGATAACAGCCGCAGGGGAAGATGCGTGAACCAAAGAAACGGATCTAAAGGGTCGGAGGGGTAGCGGAGGGAGAGACAGAGATGGGAGGGTGACGGTGGGGCGAAAGCAGATAACTTCAATCCACGAGAAAACGACAAAAAAATCGTAGGAAGAAACAAAAGAGTCCGGAAGGAAGAAAAAGAAGAGCGAGAAATTGGGAAAATGGCGATGGAGGAAGAGGCCGGCCATCCACCCTTTCATTTCCAAGTCAGGAGTTCCTCAGGAGCTGCACGTGATGCCCATCGGCCCAAATAAACGATCGGCGCCTGGATGTCGCCTTTCTCGCCTCTGCGTTTCACTCCCCAACCAATGCATTTATGGAGTGAGTAAATGAGGTTCCTGCCTCACACTTCTCTCTCTTGACGTGTCATCATGTCCGCCCTCTGAATAGTGATTGTTTGCCAGTGGTTCAGCCTGACGAATCTGTGTCGATCTGTTACGAATCCCGCCTCCAGCACTCCGTCTTTCAAGCTTCCGAGGCTGGAACTACTGCAGTGATGCGATAGCGCGTATCTCGCTAGCCCGCTTATTCGGTCCTTTGACATGGATGTTCCCGGCGAATTATGTTAGTCTATCCGTGCCAGTTCATGACTCGCTGCCGCACGCTTTACTTTTTAGTCTGGTGCATGCCATCCCACGCTATGCGCTCGTGTCCAGTGCTTTTCCCTCGTGAACCACATCTCATATGTAAGCATGCAACGATCTCGATCTGCTCCATGCTTCACTCTGAACAATAGAGGCTGAGGGGGTGAAGCACACGTCCAGGGGATTCGGTTCGTCGTTTGTTTCCACCTCGGAACCGGAGATTGTATACAGGAGGATCCAGCCGCGATAAGCTCAAGCACCCGCAGTTGGGCATGCCAGATACCACACAGGCCAACGTAGCTCCTTCTCGGGAGGCTGAGCGGGTGCGTACATTCTGCCTGCTCATTTGGATATCCTTAAATTGCCACGAGTATGACGGTTATGACAGTGTTCTGTCGAAGGTCTTCGACCTTCTCGTAGGGAGTGTAGGGAGTAGGCCATCAATCCTGCGAATCCATGATTGCTTATCGCCAGCTGTCTTGTCATCACGTGATATGCGACATCATCAGCCGCGGTTTCCCCTGCTGGGCCTCTTCTCAACTGGCTCTCCTCGTCAACTGCCAACATGACAAAAATCTATGCATTTCTCTCATCCCTTTGAGTTAGTGACTGTTTTTCTGGATAGTTGATCTGTGAATGAATTCGACTCTCAATGACCGGTCTCTGCTTTCTAGTAAAGCTACTGGTCAAGTTTCAAGCGCTATCAATTAACTCGGGGCGCCACCACATCATGGCAACATGAGAGAATCTCCGCGAGGCAACACACTGAATCATCAATCCCCTGGCGATGTCGTCATGGGACCCCAAAATTCGACCTCTGCCGCCTGATGTAGTGGCGAAGCTCAAATCCTCAACTGCCATTACACACTTGAACGGGGTTATTGTAGAGCTAGTCAAGAATGCATTGGATGCAAATGCTCGTACAGTCTATGTGACCGTCGACTTCTGTCGCGGAGGCTGTATAGTTGAAGATGACGGAGATGGGATTCCTCCAGCGGAGTTTGAAACAGACGGTGGATTGGGGAAAGCCCACCGTAAGTTTAATCGTCACATATCAATGTCCTTTACTCATAGAGATGCAGATACTTCAAAATACCATTCGAGTCATGCTATAGAAGGACGTAAAGGGCTGTTTCTCGCCTCACTTTCTGCCCTTTCTCTGCTGACTATCACATCACACCATGTGCGCCATTCGAGTACTAATACCGTCACGTTCCATCACTCGACGCCGGTTGCTCGATTGATGCCAGCTCCAGCGTATCAAGCGCTGAGGTTCAGTGCCCATGGCACGTCTGTCACAGTAAATGACCTGTTCGGAAATATGCCTGTGCGCGTAAAGAGTCGAGCATTGGCTCTTCAAAGGCCAGATGAACTGGAACGACAGTGGGAGGAACTAAGGCACTTTCTGGTGTCATACATGGTTGCTAACGACAGGATGGCTAAGCTAGTGGTCCTCGACGCTCACAGAGAAAAGAAGATCACGGTTTATCCACAAAGACCTGCCAGGCAATATGGCGGAGAACCTGACCTACAACGACTTCGTTCTATCCTCGCCCAGTCGGGGCTGGTTGAGGCTCAGAATGCGGGCATCTGGGATACCGTATCGGCCAGCGTCTCTGACTTCACAATCCATGCGGCAGTTTCCTTGACGCCTAGTCCTACGAAGAAGGTCCAATTTGTCTCTTTAGGCTCGAACCCGGTGTTCGCGAGGAACAACGCAAATCTGATCTACGCGGAAGTCAATCGCTCGTTTGCCTTGTCGGACTTTGGATCTACAAGCCGTTCCTCTGCAGTTGAAGCATCTGCCCGGACCCCTGATGGCCAACTCATGCATAGCAAACCCGCGTCTAAAGCAGTCAATAAATGGCCAATGTTCTATATACGTATAGACAGCTGCAATGAGTGGAATATCGGCGATGATACGCAAGAACTTCCAGAATCAGACAAATCTCTCCAGCGTATACTAGATGTGCTGTCGACAATGATCAACGAATTCCTCAGGCAGAGCAGCTTACGTCCACGTACTGGGAAAAGGAAAAGAGGTGCGCCCAATGTACCGCCAGCTACTACGCGCCCTAGCAGCGTAAAGACCGGAAGGTCTCTAGCTTCAGAAGGCGTCGGCTCTGTCACCGAAGAAACCCTCGGTGGTCAACTCAAGCTCCCCTCTTTGCGAAGACCACCCAATGTCAGCCATCATTTCGGCGATTGGACCAGAATCAAAAGTGCAAAGCCGGAAACGTTCAGCAAAATGTTGCCTTTACGCAGTCGCGAATTCGGGTCAGCTCGCTCAGAGAAAAACCCAGCACATCAAGTCCGGGATCAGTTGAACCAGCAATCAGCGCTTCTTTCTGCTGGCGAGGAAGGCACGGCCACCGAGCCCCAATCTCCCATACCAGATGTGTCAGGGATGCACGAAGGACAACTGAATCAGGTTCGCGAAGAGACAGATACCGACAGGATTGTTCCGTGGGTCGATCCTTACACGGGTAGACGCCATTTAATCAACTCACGGACTGGCCAGTCCATGCTCCTCAGGTCTTCAGGAGCCTCAGACGTGATGCTGCGGCCCCAATCCACCGGCTGTATACAAGAACCACATCGTACTTCAGACGAAGTGCAGCGACCAAGATCAGTCCCTCTGCAAAGGACTGACAACAAGTGGGTCGAGAAACTTTTGGACAATTGGATTAATCCTGTTTTTGGCCGCCCAGAGAGGCCTATCAGTGCGGTGGATGTCAGTGCTAGCCACGAGACAGCTCGCCCCGGGCCTAGTTCGCGGGACAATCATGGTGAGCTATGCGGGTTAGAAAGCATGGGAGTGTCGAAGTTCCGCGGCAAACTGCGTAAACAGGATCTCAGAGCTGCAGAAGTCATCGCTCAAGTGGATCAGAAATTCATCCTGATAAAGATGCAAATGCCCTCTAATAGCCCTGGGGGCCCTGCATCGAACCTGATCTTGATCGATCAGCACGCTGCGGATGAGCGATGCCGGGTCGAGGCACTCATGGCAGAGCTGTTCACATCTGGGGCAGATAGCTCAGCCTCCATCCACACCATCACCTTGGAACCCATCATTTTTGAAATACCCACCACCGAAGCATCCTTGTTCAGACGATACAAGGAATTTTTCCAATCTTGGGGTGTAACTTACACCATAGAACAAGGACCCAAAGACAAGAATGTCTTCATTTTCGTACGCACCCTCCCAACCCTTATCGCCGAGCGCTGCCGCACCGAACCCGACCTAGTCACCGACCTCATCCGCGGCGAGATCTGGAGACGCGAAGAAGAAAACGGACGAAGCCGACAGCCTCGCAATCCAAGCGGCTTCGCCCATCCTCGTCCAGATATGGCTCAAACCAACAGCAGCAACAGCAGCAGCTGGGTAGACCGACTCGACGGCTGTCCTCGAGGGATCATCGACCTGCTGAACTCTCGCGCATGCCGCACAGCAATCATGTTCAATGATGTTCTGGACAAGGATGAATGCCAGAGTTTGGTTAGACGACTCGCAGATTGCGTTTTCCCGTTCCAGTGCGCGCATGGTCGGCCCTCGATGATACCTATTTTGGAAATGGGGCCTGCTACTGTATCATTGGATCAGACTCCGGAGGATAATGAATATGAAGGCCCGGGGTTTGTTGGTATGTTTAGGAAATGGCGGGATAGGGAATCTGGTTAGTTACTGTAGTTAGGTCTACCTCTCCACTACTACTATTACTACTACTCCTACAAGGCACTCGTGAAGTTTACAACTATGAGATTTGAACCACTATGTAGGAAAGTAATTGATCAGATCATGATATCGATAGATTAGTCAATAGACTAGTATGTTGCAGAATGGTATATACAAATAGTACACAGGTAGATCCTATCCTAAGTATCCTTCCAAATATCCATCCCATCCATCCAAGTTTCCATGCCATCCAGTAAGTGAGTTCCTAGTCCAAACAAGCCAAGTCCAAGTACAAATCCAAGCAATGCTCCCATTCATCCATCCAAAGAGCAACCAACCAATCAATCAATAAAACAATGATAGTAAAAAAAAAAAAAAATCAAACAAGGGGGTGAATCAAGAAAAAGTGGATAAAAACACAGAGAATGGTATAAAGATAAAAAAGCAGAGACGCACTCATGACCCATCATCAATGCATGCATCTCCATAACAAGTTAAGGCAAGGCAAGGCAAGGCCCAAAATTCGAATCAACGAGTATGTGTGTGTGTGTGTGTGTGTGTGCGAGCCGCGAGGCCCATTCCCGACCTGTAGTATAAGACCCCCATATATGCTTTGCCCCTCCCTTTTTTGGTAGTGTTATTTTTCCCAACCGCCCCTGTGCATGCAATGTACAACATTCCGTGTTGTTTTTTGGAAGCCCCGCCGATCCTTTCCTCTTTTCTTGTTGCCCCGAACAAGAAAATATGGATGAAAAGATTCACGAGTACCGCCCAGAGAGATAATAGAAACTATAAGAGATGTGGATGGAGGAGGGTGAGAGCGAAAAGGTTATACACAGCGGAAATGCGAGAGTAAAACGGGTGTATGAGAAGGAAGAGATGGGAATAAAAATGGGTAACTGGGTAAAAATCCGTGAAAACATGAATAGAAGTGACTGTCGTAAAATCATTAAAGTGGCGGCCGTGACGAATGAGTGGGATCCGACCTGTTCAACCGTTCGTCGCGACCGACTTGGACTTGGAGGGATGTGTCCAGGAAAGAAAGTCGAACTTGTCTTTAGCGTTCTCGAGAATCGAAGAGGAGCTGGATTCAGGCTGCATGCGCGCTTGGGGCACTTCCCGGGGCTCCAGGACCAGCGACCGGCGATAGAATGTCTGCAGACTCTTTTCGCCGCTCGATCGCACACGGACGAGCTCGTTCTGCATCCACGCCTGTAGCTCCGGCACTTCCGTCAGTCGGTACGGAATCTGGAATCGCTGTAGCTCGCTGATGATCTTGGCCGTCTTCATGTGCTTGTCGAAGTTGATGACTGCCATGTCACCCTCATCTGTGGGCAAGGTACGCAGTGCCTGGTTACCGTGGTCCACGAAGGTGAGATCCGTAAGGTAGGTGCCGACGAAAGGCAGGCAAGGAGGAACGCGGTTTTGCAGTCGCTGCCGGAGAACGTAGTAGTTCCGTGAGACATCGACAATGCCTCGCAGGTATTCAAGGGTGGTTTTGGTCTTCTGGGACACCACTTCCCAGGTCCGCTTCAAGCGGGAGATCATGGATGAATTCAAGGAGCAGATGATGGCCATCAATGAGTCGTAGTTGCTGAGCTCCAGGCACTTGTTCGCAATCTTGACCCAGTGCTTGATGATCGCTGCACGCTTCTTGGGCTCCTCCAGCTGGAGAATTGAATCTGCTACAAGATGTGTCAGATCCGTGGACAGGGTGGCCATAGCCCTGACGTTGACAGCCAAGGAACCGGACTTCTTCATCCACTCCGTGGCCAGCAGCTCTTCGGGAAGAATAGCGCAGAAGATGCGCGACTCCTTGATTGTGAACTGGCGAGCGAGTTCCATGGGGTCGAAATCCAGGATGGTGATTGTGCCTTCGCCGTTCTTCCACTGCTTGAGAAGGTTGACTTCCTTCTTTCCCAGGATGGGGGGTGGCAGAGGTGTGTCTGGGTGCACATATTGTGCAGTTGCAGTGTTGGTCTTTCCCATGGAAGACACCAGA